CCTTGTATGACTTCTGAGGCAAAATTTGGGCCCTGTCTCCCTAATGATTTGCAGCACATATGACATTTCAATCCTAGGAGTGTCCCCCCCCCCCCCTCTATTTGGTAATCATCTTGGCTTTTCTTATTTATAAGTTTGTAATCATAGGTCATTGACCTACATCATGTCGCAGAGATGCGTTAAGGTAATCCTGACACAGGGAACATGCATGCAGCAGTTAAGAGATTGGAGAATAGAGGGTAGGGAAGAGACTGTGATTGAAATCAGGTATGGCTTAACATCTGTTTCTCTGAACAACTCCTAGTCATTCCATTTCTGGCCCACAGACATTATTACTTAAGCTCTTTGACCCATTTGTTGCTAATGACACAAATGTGTGTAAAAAACTAATGATAAAACACTTGTCAGGAGGAAACTTGTTAATGAATTAATAATGAGAGAAAATTTCTACTGAGGATTTAGACTGCCATGGAAATGGTACTCCCAAGTGATATATGCAGAACAGTGTATCCACTGGGCAGGGATGACAGGTAGACACTTATGTGTGTCAGGTGTATTCAGGAAAGGTCTGTGGTTCCAGTATATGAGAGGTTGCACAATAAGTATGGGAAGAAGACTGCAGAAAAAGTGGGTGGGGCTTAACATCCATTCCCATACTTTCAGAAAAATCCCATTCCTAGTCTACTGACATGAGTCTCCCTACACTCTACAGCAAGAGAACATCACCCAAGATGTACAATGCCCCTCATTACAATCTGGTCTACCTGTTTGCTATTGAATGGATGGGTAGGGAAGGGGTGTTAAATGTTGCGAGAATCATCAGGGAGAGGGAGAGAGAAGGATGTGGGAGGTTGGGTAGGTTTAGGATTTACATAATGAACTATGTTAGCTAGGCAATGAGTGAACTTTTCTAACTTCTGAATTTACAAAAGAAATTAAAATTTTAAATTTTCTCAAGAAAGTTACTGCACTTTGCACTGGAATAATGACCAAAAGACCAGAAATTGGTATTTTTTGGCAAAAATTCAAACCACTGTACTTCTAAAAATTAATTTACCCAGGGGATTGGTGTAATTAATTTCTGAAGGGTCCCTATAACCTAGAAGCCTGCCAAATAATGATCAAAATCAATGGAATTAGATAAAGGACTGTGTTAATTTTTTTTTGGAAAAGTGCTATGAAGTCCTGGCTAGAACCCTGCAAAAGGAATTTACTGAGAGGTTCAGTCCATGCACATTCATTAAGTACTGACTCATGTCTTTTTCTTAACTTCCATCAGTTCCTGAAGAATTTTCCAGTTTAATAGCTTTTTGAGGATTAACTTGTATTATAAGAGACTGTGCAGAAGTGTCACTGTGACATTGTAGAATGGAAGAATGACAGAGTAAGCAAGTGTACTTAATTTTTATGGCAGGTGGATTGTCCTTGGACGTGGGATGGTTTGTATGCTGAAGTACGTGCATCCCTCTTAGAAGGATCAACCAAAGATGACCAGATGGTGATGGATGGCATGTCCACTGTCACTGCAATCTGATCTGGTCTCATCTTGTTACTATTTCTTCACTCTCCATCCAGTAATTCTCACACATAGCCTTGCTGTTGTGCATTTGGAGTGGCAGATTATTTTGAACACCAGGATCTGAAAATTGTTTCACCTGTATGTATTGCGATTGTGAGTGCTTTTATAATTAAAAATTTATCTGAAAATGAACAAATCTCCAGTAACAAGTTCAGAAATTTAGCTTAATTGAATGCTCAATGACTGTGTATTGATTACTGTCAGTGTCTGAATTGTGCACCTAATGATAAACCTCAGCCAATTATCAAACCATCCAGATTAACTGTCAGGAATTGGTTTGATACATTTGACAGTAGGATGAATGTGGGATAATGCCCTAGGGTGGATTGCACGAAACTAATACCAGCATTAGCCTGAAGCTGTATTAGCTAAAGGATCTTTAAAGTGAGGCATTGCACAAAGAAATTTAAAGTTACATTAGCTAACTGACATTAGCGCTTCCTAATGTGCATTAGCGACTCTGATGACGTATATCAGGGACCCGCAACAATGTCATCCACTTCGGCAACACTTGAAAATTGATATATTTTTCTTCTAATCAATGCCCACAAAAGTACGAGGATGTGTCAAAAAGTAACAGGACATATGTGATCGTAACGTAGGATATATCAGTAGCAACGCACACAGTACTGCTTGTTAGAATATCAGCCCCATGAAAACGGTGGTCTTTGGCTTTGCTGTTGTTTCATGTGCCTCCTACAGTTACGAAAATGGCAACTATTGGTCTTGATTGCACCAAGGAAGAGTTGCGTTTTGTGATCCGTTTTTTAAATCAAAGATGGTGCGAATGGCAAATTTTTTGCTGACTCGGGGCAGTTTACAAAAACTGTATAGAAAGAAGCAACATTTACGATTTGATGCGAAAGTTCCAAAGTGGAACAGTGAATGTTGCAGACACTGCGCATTCAGGCCAGCAGCACTAGTCGAATGATGCGACATGCAGTGGAGGTGTTGATGTCAAGTGTATCAGAGATCATGACCTGAATGGACCCGCGCCCATAGAACTGAAGTTTGTGATTCATGAATGTTCAAAAAATAAAACCTACATCAAATCATGTTCCACCTTTTGTCACTGCCATTTTGTTGATGCACTTCAGGTTGTGGTGATGTTCTTTGACCTGTTCTCTGCTTCAAGCAGATGTGGTTTGAAAGCAATACACACAGTATTTATGAGAATCTCCTGCTGTCTTTTCATTTAGTGTTAAATATCCCATTCCTTAGAAAATCTGAGCATTCCCCAAACTTCTCAATTTGATTTTTCCCCTTCATCTCTGAAAATTATTTGCTGCAATTGCAACAAATTCCATTTAATTGAAAAGCCCTGCTCATCATCTTTCTGTAAATGATGCATGGTGACTTTTCAGAAGTTTCAATATTCCAATGATGGAAAAGTGGCTTTGTCCTTGTCAACAACTCACTTTCTTATTTGGAATTATGTATTACAAGGAGTTCCTGCTTAATAATAGTTTGTGATTGTGGTGAAATACATTTTTTAGTCCAGGGTAGCACACATGAACATGAAACAGGATAGAATCAATCCATCTAGTTTTTACTGAATCATGTCTTTCTTGAAAGATTGATCCATTCTGGTTTCTGCATTTTATTATATGATTTATTTCTGAGTTAGTGTCATTTTATGCTTATTGTACTCAATCACACTTGGATAATCAGCACTAAGATAGCAAAATAAGTATCTGTATAGGTGATGAGGACCATTTTTTCATTTGATATTTTGTAGCAGGTGCATCTCAGTTATGTTTCTACCATCATTGTAAATTTGATGACACCCATCTTACCATCATAGTAACTATTTCATTTGAGAACATTGGCTACCAGAACATATATTGCACCTCATTCTCAAGGCCTTAGAATATTGTGGTCAGTCATATTGACTAACACAGTAGCCAATGTATGTAGAAATGAAATGTCTTCAATGGTGGTCAGGGTATTCCTCACACATGCATACTCCCATGCTGACTTGCAGCCAAAAGCAATATTTTAGTAGAGACTCCACCTCCAACCATGTGTGTAGCTTGCTGTCCCAACCCTGCATTCATATTATGTACATGTTAATTTCACAATATACAAATTCTGTCAAAGACAGCAGTACTTGTAAAATTTTGTGGTTTCCCAATCCCCTGTTTAAAGTTCCATGATGATATTGAATCCTGCTAATATTTTCACATGAATATGTGGCAAATGCAATTGCAATGTGGAATTATTATCCAGACTAACTTTTATAATCAGTGTCAGATATTCAGCAGGATTTATACTTACTGCCTAGTTGATAATTGTCAGATGTTGATTTTTTGCTTTGCTATTATATAAGATGCATTTTAGAAGTATTAACTGCTCAAATACCATCCCTGATCACATAATCACAGGGTGCTACAAAATGTGTTACTTTTAGATGTAATCCTTGTCATTCTCATTGATGTGTGGAGAATGACAAAACTCTTGAAAGATTCAGGAACATCTTAACCCTTTCACTGTTAAAAAAGATCTGCCATGTTATAAAAATTGGCACTTCTTACCTGAAAACAATGGTTTATGTAAGAAAATATCATATCATGATTACTATTGAAGATAGCAGTTACATGCATAAATAGTGGTGAAACAGAAACAGTGAATGGGCTGAGCTCAAGAACATACCCAAGCTACCACTACATAAGCCCAAATATGTACTCTGGCAAACAGCCAAATGGTTAAAGATCATGTTTTAACCTCCTTGGCTGTCATAGCTCAATGGCATTGGCATTTTAAATAAGAGATCATGTTTCTGTAACCCAGTCTGTTTCTTTTTCACTGCTGGCAGATTGTGATGGCAAAAGACTTCCATGTAAAGGTCCCTGCTCACTGTCATTACTTGCATCTAAAAATGATTTTGTTGAAGCCTCCGTTAGCTTGGTAAAACAGTGGGAGAGATGTAAGGAGAACAACAAGGACTATTTCTTTAAAAAATTTTCATATATTTCAACACCCTATGATTCCCTGATCAAGAAGAATGGTAAGCAAACAGCTTTTATTTATCAAACACACCTCATATATGGCCTTGAATTTAGAGCCCTTTAACACCAGGCATGCCATCCCTCCAACACTACTGGATAGGAGTCATCAGCAATCATCTGTTGAGCAAGATACTATTGATGAAATCCTGCCATATGTTGCAAAAAATTGAGCAAGCAATGCAGAATGGCACTCATCAATTTCACATACTTGAATTAAGTTATAATAGAAGTAGGTTATCACATGTACTTCACAGTAGTGGTGACTGCCATAAATATCCTATAGAGTGATAGGCTACATGAATGAATTTCATCCCACTTTGCTCTCATCAAGGGAGCAGAAGGAGGGCTTAAATACCTTCCCTAATGGGTTGAATCAGTGACGTATGCCTGTTTACTTTCATCAAATGATGATGATTTCCTCCTCGTTTCATAGTCCTTCTGTTTATCAGCAAGATAGGCTGACTGATTTGATAGAGGATGTGGAAAGCCCCCAGAGGTTGTGAGGTGGGCTTGGGGGAACAGGAGCAAGATGCCAATGCAGCGCTCTCTGAACTTGACAAAGGTAAAGTATGTTTTGTTTTATTGTGCAATGTCTTCTGTGTTGATGTGCTTAATTTTGGCAGAAAGTTATTTGGGGATTGTCTTTCGGACTGAAGTGAGGTAAGCCATAGGCTTACCGAACGAAGGTTCAACATGATACCTGCAGAAAATAGCATTGACTACCAGAGAATTGCCCTTTGTCATATATATATGTCTGTTAGTGCTCTAGCATCCAAATTGCTGAATGTAGAGAGCTGAAAATTTGTACACTGATTCCTCAGCATCCAAGGCCCTTCTAGTGGGACAAAACTTGTTCTGACATACCTTTTCCTTCTATTTGTGAAAAACTCGATTTTGCAATGGAAGATAAAATTAACCCATCATGGCTTCTGACATCATGGATACCATTTAATAGACATCAACTGGGAAAGTTAACATGTTCACAGGATCGATGCAATTGGTTCACAAAGTCAAGAGGTAAAAGAATGGGTTATGAAGTGATTGAGCTACAGCCTTGTCATCTGGCATTTACTCCAATAAACAAGGTTTCCAAGAGAGAGTAATGATGGTGATGTAATTTTTGAGGTACATCTTATGGCCCTTTTTTTGAAGCAGACATATTCCAAAAATTGTTCACTCCCACAAAACATTGCGAAACATTGAAAGTTGAAACATGGTACACGTTGAGATGCTCATTTCAGGGTGAATTATCCTTTCAGGATATCTCCCTTTTGTGCATCCTTTTTTCAGAGATAAATATATATTTTTTGCTCCTTTAAATGAGCACATATAAGCTGAAATTCTGTATTAAAAGAAATGCTACCCTATGCTGATGATTATTTTAGTAAGCGGGATTTCCATTTGCTTGTTTGCCAGTGACATCACGCAACAGGAAGTAACAAGACACCACAATGAAAAGTACCTTTGCATCCTTGATGATGAATTTAACCACATTTATTGCGAAGTGGATCTTACAAATGAGTTATTTTCTTAGATTGTCAAGTGCCAAAGGTATGGCCATAGTGAGCTGGTTTGCCAGAAGGGCAAACAAACATGCTAGTAGAAGTATATTCATGATTTATATCCTATATGAAAGCCAAAATACCGTGAAATATGGTGGACACATTCTCCTGATGCAGAATCTACAACTGGAGAAAATCATGACCAGTTTTTTAATACAAAAATCCTTAATAATTTTTCAGATACTGCATATTGCTTTGATATATTCCAATGCCAAATGTCCAAGTTGTTGAAGAAGCTCATTTCGCATTGATAGGCTTGAGGTCGACTAAGGTTGGTGAGCAGTGTCAGGCAATAGTGAGATTCCCAAGACTCTTTGAGAAGTACCCCTTCCCTATTCTCATCAATTCTGCTTTCCTCAAGCTGGCCGATGTCTTCCGTCTGGGGTGAGTTAAGTCATCCACAGACCTCACGACTCCCATGAACCTTTGGACAAATTTTTACATTCCATGAAAGAGGGAAATTAGAATGCAGAATTGAATGTTTTCTCTCATATTGGCCAGTCCTTGATTAACCCTTTGACCGCTGTTTATTTTCGGGCCTGCCGCCCAGGGATGAGAGTTTGAAAACGAGTATTTTCAGGCTTGGCGGTCAAAGGGTTAATTAAGCCTTCTGTCTATTCAATTTCTTTTTTTTTTTTTACTTGTGGGTCTTTGACACCTGTCATTGGGTAGAAACAGAGGAGCAAATCCAAGTTACCTGGTTTACATTCTAGGTCATCATGTTGTGCTCTTTGATTCAGTTATTGTTAGGTACCATGAAATTGCGACTTTTAGGCGTATTATACAGTATATGCATGAATAACTTACTGTCAGTGTGGGCATAAAATTGTAGACAGAGAGCATGTACAGTGAACTCTCGATATACCGCCACTGTTGGTCTCGGCCGAGTTTGTGCTATATGGAGGGTGACGTTTAATCGAAACGCATGGCTTTAAGGTACTATGGGAAGATGAAAATTGACCCCCCTGGATCGAAATTCCGCTTTATAATTGTTGTAAGGGACCTCAAGAAAGGACCTTGGAGCCGATTGCTGACTCTCTGCGGTCACGCCCGGTCATGATTTGAGGTCAAAGGTCACAATTTACATGCATCTCTTTGAAAATTTGTATCTCCCCAACCATTGGCCGCAGAAACGTCAAATTCGTGCCATTCTCCTTGGAAGATATCGCGCTAAATGGAAAAAATAAATACATGCATGTAACCGTCGTTATTGAGACGCCATGGCGCCATAACTGAGAAAATTTCCGTTTTCGGATTCTGTTTTTTCGCTCTCATTCCTCGTATAAATTTTCTATCGACAAAACATGCTACACTTTTTGGAGGCTATCCTGATCCATCTTTTTGGCGAAGTTGCGCATAGTTTCCTCCAACCGTTCCCTCTCAAAGTTCGACGATCCGCACGAAAATGCCACTTTTTTGAAAATCACTCGATGTTGACGGACATTGCTCAAAAACGAAGCCGAAATTCAAAAATTCCTCTGATAGATCTCTTAAGAAATCTCTCAAGAAGCTTCTTGTGGATTTTCATGAGAATCCGTTCGCTATCCTCGGAGCCTATCGCCTTTTGCTGTGGCCCATTTTAAAATTGAGGCCATTTCTGTCCTACCGGGTCGATTTCTTCGGTTCATCGGTCGCAAATACCAGATTTTTTGTTCCTATCGCATAGAGATATGTTTCAGGGATCAAATGACACCAAGATTGCTTACTTTCTTCTAGGTGATAGAGAACGCGGGGTTTTAATTCCCGATTTGCATGAAATCTTGAATTCTCGCGCGCTGCTCTTTTCTTGGACCTCCCATGTTCTCACTCACTCTCCCATGTTCCTTCGCCTGCCCCGGGACCTGCCCGGGACCCTGTCGCATGCACGCACTTCCCCCTCGCCTTCTTCTCCCCTCTCTTCCCCAGTCTCACTGGCTCCTGGCGCTGACCCTTTCTCAGTCGAAAAAAGAACCGCCGCACTTCCTACACTAAGGAGCATTAAGGATTTCCGTGACTCGTGTATTTTCGGTATCAATCCTCGTGCAGGCAGTACACAATCTCAGGCTCCAACGATAACGATTTTCACGAGATTACTGCTTTTCTTTTAAATCGAATATGTGATGTTCGCAAAGGGGAGTTTGTCAACTTAGGTCCCCCCTTTCCTTTGAAATGAAACGCATCCCGCACACTAGAATGGACTTTGAGCTCCAAAACTTGTCTGAAAAAGTAGATTCATGAGACGGATGCCTTGATTTTAGAGATGCTTGAGAGAGACGGAACGTTACCTGACCTCCCGGGAGAGGTGAGATTGAGGATGGTTTTATTTGGGGGAGTATTAAACTAAAATGAAGCCGCGCAGCTTCAACATTTATACCATCGGTTAGGGTGGAATCTAGACTACAAATATTTCCAGAAAGTGATTTTTCTTCGTGTGTCACTGTCGAGATGTAGGGAGGTGAAGGATAGCGCCTGATTGAAAGGGAGGTACATTATGGAGGCATTATCCCTTGTGTACATTTATCTCACTTAAATATTGTCAAAAATAAAAAAAGGTATACCACTGGCTAGGGCAGACTCTGGACTACAAATCTTGTTTAGGCAGAATTTTCCGAAACTGAAA